CCTCTGGGGGAGGGACTCCGCCTGCCTGAAAAGCAGGCGCCAACAATACAGCCAAGATCTACTCCAGGGGGGGGGAGGGGGAGGGACCGAGGGCACGCGCCGATCTGCAACGCAGTGAAGAAAAAGACCATCACCTTCACGCAGCTGCTTTTGTCCGCGGCCTCGCCGGCGCCAGAGACGGCCATGCGGCAGGGGAGGCGCCGGGGCGGTGGCGCCGAAGCCATCTGCTCGCAGCAGATCTTAAAGCGCCCACCTTGCCTCAAGACCTCCCCCTGTCGTCCGACCCGGCCATCGAGACGTCGGCGGCACTGCTCTTCCCGTTGCGTTGGACCGACTTTGACCGAAGTGGCCGAAGTGTCCAAGAGCCCGCTAGAAGGGACCAGAAGGCCACGTGCAGCAGCAGCAGCTGCGTAATGCAAGCGGCGGAGGACCTGCGTAAAGAAGCGGGGCCCAGAAAGGGCATCGCGAGGCGGGCTGTATCTCCGAGCCAGCCGCCTCCGCCCACGTCCCGGGCCAGCTCCGATGAAGGGCGGCCGTGATTCCGAGCGGCCCCTCTTGGAAGCGGGGGGGGGGCACGCACAACTCCGTAGCGAGCGGAGAGGAGAGGAGAAAGAGAAAGAGAGAGAGAGAGACAAAGCAAGACAATGAGAGAGAGAGAGATGGAGGAATAACAAAAACAAAAAAAAGGGATGAGATGGAGAGGGGGAGCGAGGAGGGAACCGGCCGACGGCCTGCAATGGTGTGGCCCCTCGTGGGGCCCTTCCTCGCCGTCGCCCCCGAGGCAGCTCCAGCGCCCCGAGGCTGCCCGCCGGCGCTCCTCCTCCGCGTGACCGCCGGCTTCCGGAGGCCAGCTGCTGGCACCCGGGCCCAGAGATCCGACGTAGTGGTGTTCTCAATGCGCGGTCCGCGGACGTCTCGACCGTTTCTCGGCTACGCGCAACTCGCCATCGCTCGGACGTCCATTCCCTGTGCTTTTGTTCGGTTTCGGGTGTTTTTTTTTGCCGAGCGGTCAAGGATGCTCCTCGATGGCCCTCGCCGAAGGAAAAATGCACACGTCCGAGCGATGCCCAGGCAAGAGTGAGCCTGGGTCAGAGTGGCCTCTGGTGCGCGGCCTTTTGGGGGCCGCCGGGAGACCAAACCTGGGCGCGCAAGCCGCTGCTGCCACTCCGCTTTCAGCCATCTGAAGGTCCATCTGTGCGCCCGCACCAGAAGATCACTCCGGCGAAAGGTCACTCTTACGTCTACTATTACGTCTAGTGGAAATACGCCGTCCCCAGAAGTCTCGACCGTCTCCCCAGGACCAATTTTCCACCCCGCGTCGTTCTTTGACGGTCCCGGGGCCCAGCGAGGGCCTCTGAAGGTCGAAATCGGCGAATAACCTCCGTCTTGAGTTTTTCAAGACGCTGGATCTCCAGGGGGGCGGGCACGCACAGCGGTGGGGCGGTGAGAGGCCCCCTCCCACCTCCGGGAAGAGCTCTCTCGCGAGCGCTAGGGCCACGAGCTGAAGAAGGCACTGTGTGTAAGCCGGGCCAGTCCCCCTCTATAGCGGGAATCTATAGCGGGAATCTCCCAAAATACTCGGAAACAATGATCTGGGGACGATTGTTGAAGTATTTTGAGAGTATTTTGGGAGTATGTTTCAGCATGTGTGGGCTACTGTTTCAAACATTTTCGCCCAACATCCGCCTGTAGGGGGACACGCCCGACCTAACACGGCGTCGGAGGCCCGGGCCGTCGTCGCCGCGTATAGCCTCTACCCGCTCAGGGCCCGACCGGCTCGAACCTCTCCAGGGTCCGCCCTGGCCAGCTCTCCGAGGTGCGCCGAGCCCCGGAAGACGCACCAGACAACAAAAAAAAATAAAGAGAGAGGCACAGCCAACCCGCATCCTGAGGATGCGTCGTGCGGATGCAAGAGGGCCTGGTTGCACACATGTTTGCGATCGCCTGAAAGCAATGCTCGCGCCACGGCCTGTGGCCGAGCTCGCGGGGCCACCGCGGCCCCCCCGAGGCTGCCACCTGCGCCTCCCCTTGGAAGGCTGGGGCCCACTGGGACCAGAGAGCCACTTTTGGCAGCACTCGACGGTTCGGGCATCCTCTCTCTCCCCGACGCGCTTGAAGCCGGGGTCTTCAGCTCAGGCCTTGTCGCATTCGCTCCCCACCCTCGCCCAGACCACGGGGCCAACACTCCGATCACCCAGAACAGAAACACGATCCGCGAGGCAGAGAGAGCAACGGGCGAAGCACCATCCATCGGAACTGCCGGCTTCTACCCACCCGACGAGGGTGGAATCTACCTCCCTTGGAGGCGGACAAGGATGAGGAAAATGTGATGAACGTCCTCCTTGCCCTGACGTGGGGAAAAGAAGAAGAGTTAGATTCGCCAGCGTCGCCAGCGCGCCGACGCCGCATGAACTTACTACAACGGTGCACCCGATTCTCCCTGCCTCCCTCGCCCTCCTCCTCCCTGCCGTCCACCCGGATCCTCGCCGAGGCGGATCATGGCCTCCTCCACCGTCTCGCGCGAGGCCTAAGGGCGCGCGGCGGCGCCCGCGGCGCCCGTCCTCCTCCGAGCCCCTTCCTATCCTTTCCCCCCCTTCCCCACCTCCTCCTCCTCCTCCTCCTCCTCATCCTCCTCCTCCTCCTCGACCTCCTACTTCTCCCCTCCTCCTCCTCCTTCTCCTCCTCCTCATTCGTCCTCCTCCTCCTCGTCATCCTCCTTCTCCCCCTCCTCCTCCCCCTCCTCCTCCTCCTCCTTCTCCTCCTCCTCCTCCTCCTCCTCCTCCTCCTCCTCCTCCTCCACTCGACCGTCGAGGGATCCCAGACATTCAACGCATTGAGCAGAAGTCAAATCTGAAGCCCAACCCTATGCCCCTGAGGATAACACGCGGGGGATAAGAACACTTGGGATCTCGGAGGGGTAATAAACGATTTGCCCCGGCAAGTCGCACGAGGGATGCATGAGAAGAGGTCGTCGTCGTTTTCTTTGTCGTCGTCCTACGAAGACGGCGACGACGTCGACGACGACTACGATGACGACGAGGAAGATGTTCCCCGTAGTCTTTCTCGTGAAGGCCTAAAGCTTGCCCGCACTCTTCATGTCCTTGGTACTCTCTCCCATAGCTACTCGACATAAAAAATAATTAGCAACTTCTTTTCGTAACTTCCCCCGCGATAATAAAGTTCGGCCTCGCCGCCGCTCGCCCCCCGACCCCGGGGAGAATCACCTCTCAAGGGGGAAGGCGGGGTATGATATATTATCCGGGGCCCGCGGTGAAGTATTTTTTACGTCTTCGGCCGGGGCCCTCCCCGGGCACAGAGGCCGCCAACAAAAATCTCAACGTCAGGACTCTGTGGGAAGCGGCACGGGACTCCAGGAGCTTAGTGAGCAATCGAACTACAAGGGCCGTTTTGTTACCGTTTTCGGAATAATGTCTTTTGAACATTGAGACGACGAAACAACAACGACCAAGAACGGCAAACAAGAACGGCTCCAGGATTGGGACCGGAACGGAAACTGGAAAAAAAACGGCGACGGAACCGGCAAACAAAAACGGCGCCAGAACAAGGGAAAAACGGGTCCGGAAACGAACACTCCGGGAGGCCCCGCATGGATCTCTGGGATCGGGTGTTGAAGACGTCTTGGGTTCCCAGACCCCCGACGTCGGCATTTCTTACAACGTCGACCCCCCAAGGTCTGGATCCCTTCCCCTGGAGCGGCTTTTCATCCCGAGTCCTTTTGTTGACGGTCCCGAGGCCCGGTATGGGCCTTTGCAGGCCGGAAATAGCGAAAAGCCTCCCGTCGTGATTTTTCCACAACTCGGCGGCGACGATAGGGGCGAATAGCCCAGGGGCGGGCATTACACGAATTCGCCCGGGAGTTTTTTTTTTTCCGAAGACCTATATCATCGGCGACCCTGACTACATGTATTGGTCTCCCCTGGGCTATTCGCCCCTGTCGTCGCCTCTGAACAACGCGAGGGGGTCTGGGTTGTGGGCGTCCCCCAACCTGCCCGGAACCTCTGGGAGCACACAGTGGGGGCCTCTGCCCGGGGCCTCCTCGCGAGACCTCCGTGGAGGCCCCAGCCCTCCGAGCGTCGTGTGCTTCGTGCTCCCGGCCCCTCGGCGGCTTCCGCCTCCAGTCGTCTCGGCGTCCAGCGGCCCGTGGCGTGCCCTGCAGGGCGTCTGGTCATGTCAGCTTGTGATTAACAGGTGATGCCCCCCCTGGGGGCTGATCAAGAGACCCCGCGGGGCGCGAAACTTTTTGTTTCATCACGCGTGCCAGGGCTCGGAGAGCTCGGGGAACCAGTCTGTCCTGTTTCTGTCGCCTTCTCGCTGGCGGCTGGGCGTCGGCGCTAATCACCGGAGCCGCCACTATGTGTTTCAATTTGGCGGGCGCCCCCCCCCGCAATTCGCCCGATCAGGGAAACATTGATTTTCTGATGTTTTGAATCACACGCCCTGCACGGATTTGTTAATCACAAGCCGACACTTGCAGTCGGTACAGCCATCGTGCTGCCACAGAGGGACACCGAGCAAGACACGAGGGGCCCGCTCTGGCCACGGCGAGCCTCGGCCGCGACGAGTTTTTTTTTTACCGACCTGGATCCGAGGGGCGGCGGCGCGAAGATCAGAGCCCCTGCCGCGTCGAAGGTGGGCCTTCCTTGTGCAGCGTCTGGACCACCTCGGATTCGGCACCGCCCGCCTCAGACCGACCGTGGGACCCGCCCAGCATCGCCAGCGAAGGGCCGACCGTCATGGCCCGCGCGCGTCCCGCTCTCGCTCGTGGCACTTCCACGACTACGAGTTAAGTCGGGCGCGCCGCCCTACAGGGGGATTTTGGCCGAAAAATGTAGCATAGTCGAACAAAAGAAAGAGATGCTCCAACATACTTACAATCTATTCCCCATGCAAATGTTAAAACTACTTTTGAATAGTTCAGGCGTTGGCAGAACTGGGCTTAGTGGAACCTGGCTTAGTGATCTGTGCCAGGGGCGCCCCCCCGTCCCATTTCCACTAACCGGAACTGCCGTCACCCGAAAAAACACCAGCTGTGGCAAACCTGGCGTCGTGATTCTGGCCAATTCAGAGGCTGCCCTACCACTGACCGGGTCCCCTTACCTGGGGCCCTGGCCACACCCGACAATTCCTCCTGTATAAACAGAGGGACAGGCCCGACTTACGACTAGAGACTGCCTCGGGCCGCTTGCTCCACGGAGCTCTCGACGCCCTGCACGGCACCGGCCTTGCGCTTCCGCTCCCCGAGCTGGGCCCTCTCGACCGCGGCCGGGCCCCAGAAAGATGGGCCTGGACGCCGAGAGGTGCCCGGAAGGGGCAACGAGGGGCCCAGACCCCTTCGAGTTGCTAAAAAAATCAAGACGGGAGGTTTTTCGCAACTTTCGGCCTCGGGGGACCCTGGCTGGGCCTCCAGACCGTCAAAAAACGACCCAGGATGAGAAAACGGCCCAGGGTAAGGGGTCGAGACCTCCAGGGGTCGACGCAGTGAAAAGTCATGGCGTCGGGGGTCTGGGCTGCGGGCCAGCCCAGTGGCGGGGGAGCATCGAGCTCGAATCGGCCAGGCATCGCCGAGGTAGTCGGCGACAGGCCCCCCCGATAAGCGAAGCCGCGCGCTGCTGGGCGGGAAGAGGGCTATCTGGCCCCCTGGCGGCGGTGAAGGGCTGAGATTGTGGCCCGACGCGCGCAAGCCTGTGAGCCACTCACTCCCCCAAGCTATCCTCGTCGTCTGGCTTTCGGATCATGCTCTGGCCTCTCCGTGGCCGTTCGGGACTGTTCGGGCACCCCGAGACATGCGACGTCTTGATGTTATTCGATCGGTACGGGGTGCCCGGAAGTCGTCCCGACCCCTTTCCCCGGGACTGGTTTTTCATCCCGAGTCGCTTTTTGGCGGTCCCGAGGCCCGGCGAGGGTCACCCAGGCCGAACATGGCCAAAACCTTCCCGTCCCGGTCTTTTTGCGACGCGATCCTGTCTAGGGGTCATGCTCTGGTCTCCGGTGGCCGGTCGGGACTGCTCGGGCACCCCGAGGTGCCATTCGGCGGGGCGCAGCTGCTGAAACGCGTCCCGAGGCAGGAACACCGCCGAGCACCGACGAACACTTACGAGAAAAGCTCCTCCTCCTCTTCCTCCTCCTCCTCCTCCTCCTCCTCCTCCTCCTCCTCCTCCTCCTCCTCCGTCTCCTCCTCCTCTTCCTCCTCCTCCTCCTCCTCCTCCGTTTCCTCCTCCTATCCTCCTCCTCCTCCTCCTCCTCCTCCTCCTCCTCCTCCTCCTCCTCCTCCTCCTCCTCCCCCTCCTCCCTTGAAGCACATCCGCCAGGCACAACCGCCAACGTGCCTCTGGGCGCGGAGTGGGCGTGTCCTCGGGTCCTCTGCCGAATCAGATTCTCGAATCTTGTGGGCTTTCCGCGTGCCCGCTGGGGCCTCCTGCGTGTCCCCTGGGCTCCCCCACATCTCCTCGCGTGACTTTTGCGGGCCCAAAGGGGGCCCCAAGACGGGCCCAGAGAGCCTCGGAAGCCCCCAAGACAGCCTGAGAGGGCTCCAAGTCGCCGAAAGATCGCCCCAAGACGCGCAATGTGCCCGCAAGATGGCCCAGGAGGCCTCCAACGCCCTCAAAGAGGCATCCGAGAGGCCTTCCAAAAAGGCCCCAGGATCCCAAACTCATTAATTTCCCCACGATGTTTGAAAGATTGTGGCGGTCTCGCTTTTTCGGCGTCTCGACACACCCAGACGGCCCTAGAGGCCCCCAAGACCGCCCCAAGACGGCCCAAGAGGCATCCAAGAGGGCCCCACAACAGCCAAAGAGTGCCCCTTCACGGCCCAAGAGGCGCTCAAAACAACCCAAGTGGCCCCAGGAGGCCCCAGGAGGCCCCCAAGAGGCCCCAAAGAAGCCCCAAGAGGCCCCTTGAGAGGCCCAAAAGAAACTGCCTCCAAGAGGCCCCCGAGAGGCCTCCCACGAGATCCCAACGAACGCCCAATAGGCTTCAGACCCGCAACCCAGGCACGGTGGCGCGATGTGCCGAATGCATTCGATACATCTCGCACTCCCGCTTCAGATGGGTCTCTGAGGCCGCAAGGCGAACCCCACGACTGCGAAAAAGAGCTCCTACGAGGGGCACATAAACGCTCCGAGACGGCCTTCAGAGCGCCCGAAAGCGCCATAACAGGGCGCCTAGAGGGCTCCAAGATATGTATCTTCGGGCTCTGGAGGAAGATTATGATCGGCGCCACCGTTTCTTCATGCAGAAGAGCGCTGAGCAACCCGAGGTGTTTCAGAGATGTTGGCCTTGCGGGGGGCATCAATGGAAGGCTTGTAGGCCGCAAAGATGGATCAAAGATGGATCCAAGAAGGCCCCAAATGGCCTGCAAGGTGACGCCACGAGGCCGCAAGATAGCCCTCTGACGGCTCCAAGTGGTCACACAGCCTCCCAAAGATAATACCAAAGAGACGCCCAAGTCCTCCAAACACGTGAGATCTGGTTTCATGATTT